ACAGAAAGCGAGAAATCACCCCACCACCACCACCAGGGGAGATGACCACTCCGTAGTCCCTTCTCCTCTTGGGACTTTGGGCATGCACCACACGTGCCCAGCATGAGTTTTAAGCCTCTGGGTCTGGGATTCAAACTGCGGTCAACTACATGGGAGTCCAGTGACATAACCATTATGCCATCTGCTGGTCCCAATTACCGTTTTTTTAGGCCCTCCTTTTCTCTTGTATTTTTCAGGTTTTCTGCTTTGAATATTTATTTGCACACACACACCCTCATGTTTCATGAGAGACATAGAGACAGAGAGAGGTGGGGTTTTTTTGTTTTGTTTTTGTTTTGTTTTGTTTTCTTTTCTTTTTATTTTTTTTTTCCAGCAGTCTCACATACCACATATCCTCCTGCCTCAGCCTTCCTTACCTGTTGCTTGCAGGTGCACACAACCATGCCCATTGTGTTCAGGTTGACCTGGTAACTGAACCCATGGACCTGCTTTGCAGCTTCCAGCCTCCTCCACAGTGGTGTTGTCTGTGTACCATCATGACTGTCCCATTTGCTTTTTTATAATTGAAAAAAAAAAAAAAAAAACTTCTTAAATGGCTTTAATTCTGCAATTTCTGAACATCTGTGTGCCAGAGCTCTTTAGGAGAGGCACCAAGAACATGGTCTCTGACTTTAGCAGCACTTATTTCTGAAAAGTAGGGAATGATTTGTCATGGAATACTATAAGAAAAAAATGGCTGGGACCAGCATGTGGTGTGGTGGTCCTGGATACTCCCACAGGGCCAACCATGGTTTGAGTCCCAGACCTGGTGGCTTGCTTTCTCATTTTTCCCTCTCTCTTGCTCTCTGTGTTTCTCTCTGTCCAAATTAAAATAAATGAATAAATAAATAAAATTAAATAATTATTTTTTAAAAATGGCTGTATGTATGAGAAGAGCAAAAGAAGGAATTTAAGCAAGGAACAGATACTTCAGATAAGACTAGATAATTGTAAAATCCTAAACCATGGCCTAATTTTAAGATGAAAGAATATTCCTGAAAATTAAAATAAAAAAAAAGTTACTACTTTGAATAACATCTATAAATTAAGACTTATCAGTATGATTTTTTTTTATTGACCTACGGATATTTAACATTTCAGGAACTCTGGCTCTCTGTTTTTTTAATGATTTTTTAAAAATACTTTTTATTATATTTCTGTACATAATAGTACAACGTTGTGGGATATGGTATGGTTTTTCAATGCATGTATATAATGTATAATGATCAAATCAATGATAAACATCCAGCATTTATTGTTACTTCGTGTTGTGCACCTTTGAAATCTCTTCTAGTTGTTTTGAAATATATGTTGAATTGCCAACAACCCTTCTTACTGTGCTACAGTCTATTCTCTAACCACTGCACTTGTTTATAAGCACTCCTATATGTGCTTTTTTAAAAAATTCATTGCTTAAGTAACAGTTTGTATTATTGTAATGTTCTCAGAAGTAGACCTGCCTTGCTTGTCAGGAACTTTTTTTTCTCTCCATTTCTTGTCAACCTACATTCTTTGTTTTTAATATTTGGATTATTTTCGATTTGTACATTGATGATGTTTATGTGTCTGTTTCAGTTTTATAATATGAAACTTTTTATTAAAAATTTAATGTCAGGGGATTACTGAGGGATTTTTCAAATATATCTCATTTCTGTTATTGCCTCACCTTCTCAGGAGACTATTTTGGTAAGAAATGAAAAGTTAAAAGCCCATTTGGCAAATAATTAATTCAGCTTTCAAGCAAGCATGGATATTTTGTCAGTTAAATACTATTTCATTCACATAATAGCATGGCTTGTACATGACAGTATAGTTTTCATTTATTAACATTCACATGTTAATTACTGTGCATTTGTAACAAGCTTTATGTGATTATAGCAGTATAGTGTCTTATCAATTAATCATTGAAAATCAGAAGTAATCAAACTATCATTAGTAAAGACATAAAAGGACTTTTAGTATTTAATTTTCTTATTATTGTCTCTATAGTGAATTTCAGCTTGCTGCAACTGATGCATCTATTATAATTCCCATTAGTAGAAAATTTTAACATTTTAGCACTGTACAGTTGCTTCTACTTTATTAGTAGAATTAGTTAACCTCTTTAATACTTTGCTTTCTTGGGTTTAGTTGACCCTGTATTACCAAAAATTGGTAGGTTTGTTTTCAAATACCTATTTTGAAAGACTTTTTAAATCTTTATTTTCGGTGTAATTTAATTATCTGTGAAAGCTCTCCTCCCCCAAATTTCCTCTTACCTAACCTAAAAACCTGGAACTCTGGGGCCTGGCAGGTGGTGTGGTAATTGAGGGGCTGGACTCCCACATGGCCAACCACAATTCAAGTTCCAGACCTGGTGACTTGCTTTCTTGCTTTCCCTTTCTCCCTGTCTCTTTCGAGTCAAAATTTAAAAATAATAACAGATGAAATTAAATTAATAAATAATTTTTAAAAATCATAGAACTCTGATCTCTAGGAATACAGACCTAATTATAAGGAGCCAATTCTGGTTAAACACAAAACATTTATCAAATAAGGTATTTCCTTTGCCTTTTCTGTAATATTAGACTGTTTTCTCTCCCCAGGAAAGCATTTCCTGTTTTTATATTGCCTTAATTGTTCCTCTCTCATTTTTAATACACATTAAAACAAATATCTCTCCTTTTCTAGATATATCCTATTTTTATTTTAATTTTGATAAACATACTTTACTGGACTCATAAAATAGGAATTCCCAGGGCCAGCAAGTAGTGCGGCAGTTTAGGCGCTGGACTTCCATGTAACTGACTGTAGTTCAAGTCCCAAACCTGGCAGCTTAAAACTCAAGCCATGAGTGTGTGATGCCCAGAATCCCAAGAGGAAAATGGAGGAGAAGGGATTGTGTTGTGGCCATCCCCTCTGGGGGGGTGAGTTCTCGCTTTCTCTCTGTCTCTCCAATGAGTGTACAATGCCCTAATAGCAAAAATCTCTCTAAAAAAAATTAGGAACCCCCTTTTCCTGTACAACAAAATACTGCACCTATATTTCCTGATTTAAACTTGAGAGTAGTCCAGGCGATAGGTATTATTATTTGTATTTACTGATAAGGAAAACAAAATCCTGAAAGAGAAAGAAATTTCCCTAAGGCCAACAGCTAATAACCCAGGTCTGTCTGACATCAAAACTTGCTCTTGAAACACTGTCTTTGCTGTCTTCATGCCTTTTCCTGCCTCTTCAGTCTCTTGACTTGGCCTTTTTTTCCTTGACTGGCTACTAATAGTCCTTTAGTTGTTTAACAATCCTCCATTCTCCATCTTACATAGCTTCCTCATCTGCCTGAATCCTCTATTTTACTTCTAACATATTCTAAGTGTGTCTCATATAACTCATTTTTAAGACTGTACCTTAATCGTTCCCACAAAGGTGTTCGTAAGTATTCTGTTGAATGTTTAGCTACTACTGGGCAAAACGTTGCATTGAATAAAATATAGATGGGAATTAATATTCACTGAAAGTTTTGGTTTCAGTATAAATATAACCCTTGGAGAGAAATAGTACTTTGGTTATTGATGTTGATGGAAATCTTTTCTTCATTTCTATCCAATGTTTTTTTTTCCTTTGGAGAGGTTTTCACTATAGGGCGTGTGCGCTTGCCAGACAGAGAGAGACAGAGAGACAGAAAGCGAGAAATCACCCCCCAAGGGGGATGGCCACGCCTCAGTCCCTTCTCCTCCGTTCTTCTCACGGGATCTTGGGCACACACGCACGCCCAGCGTAAGTTTAAGCCACCGGGTCCAGGACGTGAACCGTGGCCTACTACATGGGAGTCCAGCAACATAGCCATTATGATAACTGCCGGTCCCTCTATCCAATGTTTTGTAGGACAATTTTTTTTTTTAATCTAAAACTTAAGTGGTTATGTTTCTTTGTTTTTTCCTTACATGCATTTAGAGGTGCCTATGTGACACTTAAAAATATATCTTAAAGAGAATGTTTAAGTTTAATGAATACTTGTTTCTGAAACCTTTAAAGGGAATTATTTTACCTGACTTGGTACTACTTTGATTTCAATGTGGTCATCTAGGAAGCAGTCAAATAACTAGGCTTGTGAGATCATGTAAGAATAATGTGCCCTTAGAATAAATTTTAGATTCTGTAAATGTTTTTATTCTCATTTCTGGCTATACTCTTTGTTTTATGTTTGAAGACCTGTCTTATTTACCACTTAAATCTGTCCCTGTTGTTATCTACAATCTGCATGATTTTTGGTTTGGGTTTAGACTAAACTCCATCCTTTTGCCTAAAAGATTGCCAAGACTTTCTGGAGAAAGGGAGAGAGAAAGAGATACATTGTGCTATGCACTGTTAGAAACATGGGACCAGCAGTTAGTATAATGGCTATGTTGCTGGACCACCATGAAGTCAACCACAGTTTGAGTCCCGGACCCAGTGGCTTAAACTCATGCTGGGCGTGTGTGAGTGCATGCCCAAGATCCCAAGAGGAGAATGGAGGAGAAGGGATCACGGTGTGGCATGGCCATCCCCTCTGGGGGTGATTTCTCGCTTTCTGTCTTTCTGGCGATTGCATGCACCCTATAGCAAAAACCTCTCAAAGGAAAAAAGAAAAAAAAAAGAAAGAAAGAAATATATATTAGTGTCCACAGAAACTGGCAAATTTCAAGGATTCCCAAAACACTCAGGTTTAACTTCTCTACCAAATCAGTTAAAACTAAAAATGAGTGTTTCTTTATGAGGTAGTAGAGTCACATAGATGTATAAGTTTAATTTTATTTGAATGTGATTGTTAAAAGTATTTTATTGTCATTTTCCTCATAAGTTGTCCTATTTTTTTAATTGCTATAATATTTTAATCTAATTGTTTAAATCTCTACTTTGAATGTTATACCTTAGTTCACAGAGAAAAGAAATGTTTACAGTTAAGTACTCAAATATTTTAAAGTGACTATTATGTTCTTTTGAAGTGATGGAGGACTGAGCCAGTCACAAGATGACAGTATTGTGGGAACGAGGCACTGTAGGCACAGTCTGGCTATAATGCCTATTCCTGGAACACTCTCATCTAGCAGCCCTGATCTCCTGCAGCCTACCACCAGCATGTTGGATTTTTCCAATCCTTCAGGTAATTTTCACCTGTGATTTTATATAGCCATATATTAACAAATGAACAAATAAATCCTTGAGCCTCATATAACCAATGCTACATATGCATGTAACCCTCTCTTCCCACCTCTAGAGTTTGACTTCATGCAAAAGCCAAAGGAAAGTTATCTTTTTATCTAAATGCGATTGATACTTCCTCACAGAAGTATGTGAAAAAGAGGCTACCTCTGACCACACACAGATTTAGGTATCTTTTGGTAGTCATAATCTGAGCAGTGTAATGAAGACAGAGACACTTCTCAGCTAAGAGATCTGTTATCCAAGGTGTGGGGGAAAGTAAGACAGATTATTTTAATCTAAGTGGCCTCATTTATCTTTCTATGTGATATACAGGGTTATTTTATTAATTTTCTAAAAGTGCTGGTTTTCACCCCTCTAACACCTAAAGCTAAAGTTGTTTTGTCATTTATTGTTATCAAAGTATTATAGCTTATTTTTCACTGCCATTCTTTCAGTGTGGTAGCAAGTTAATTTTTCTGCATTATTCATGTCCAGAGGCAGAAATTAATCATATAATCTAAAATTTTATTATAGTGAAGAAAACCTGTGACTTAAAAAAATAAAAAGAAATGATTATATATTGATTTTATATATATATATATATATACACACACACACACACACACACTGAAAACGTTTCATATAGTTTTCAAAGAATGACACAAACAGGGCTGGCCCAGTAGCATGGTGGGGTTAGGCGTATATAGAGGGAGTAAGATCCCACCCACATGGCTGACCATAGTCTGAGCCCCAGTCACTGCACATGAACAATACACATGCTCGTGTGCCTAAAACCCCAATGGGAGGGAGGAATAGAGGGAAAAGGATTGCAGTACCACCACATCCCGTGGCAGGGTGCTTTACCTTTCTTTGTCTTTCTCTGGAGAGCACACATACCCTCTGGCAGTCAAAAAGTTAATAAGTAGGGACCATCAGATGGTGTAATGGTTGCATCACTGGAGTCCCACATACTTGGCCATAATTCAAGTCCCAGACCTGGCAGCTTAACACTCATGCCAGTTGAGTGGGTGTGTACCGGCCCAAAATCCTGAGAGGAGAATGGAGGAGAAGGGATTGCAGGGAGACCATCCCCCCTGGGGGGGAGGGGAGGTGATTTCTTGCTTTCTGTCTCTCTGCCTCTCTCTCTTTCTGGCAAGCACACGTACCTTATAGCAAAACTCCTCTACCAAAAAAAAAGGTTTTTTTAATAAGTAAAAGACATACACAGTGGGGCCAGCAGGTGGCATGGTGAGTAAGGCACTGGACTCTCACATAGACAACCTCAGTTCGAGTCCCAGACCTGGTGGCTTGCTTTCTCACTTTCCTACTGTCTCTTTGTCTGTCTCTAGTGAGCGCATATGCCCTATAGCAAATTTTTAAAAATAATAATAAATAAGATTAAATGAATTATTTTATTTTTTAAAAAGGATATACACAGTTATTGTGTTGTTAGGAAAGTTGTGACATATTTTTTTATATAAAAACATAGAAAAATACATCATGACTTTCCCAACAACCTAATAAAATCTGATGAGATGGTCTTCAAAAAGTTCATGGAAAATGTGTATTATAAAAAAAACTATGCATGGATATTGATGTTTTTATCTACACCCAAATTTACTTTGTTGTTTTTGTTGTTATTGGAGGACATATACTCTTGCCAGAAAGAAAAAGGGAAAGCGAGGGAGGACTCCCATATTAGAGGTCACACCACAACCCTTTCTCCTCCATTTCCTCTTTCAGGATTTTGGGCATATAAGCACATGCACAGTCAGATTTTTTTCAAGCTGCCAAGTTCAGGACTTGAACCTGATGTTGGCTGTGTGGGATCCCGCTACCTTGCCCACCCCACCACTGACTTGTAAACTTGTACTTTAATTCTGTTTGCTCTTGAATATTTTAAAGTTCTTCGTATATAATTAGGTCCAAGGAAAGGAGGGGGACAAAGATACTTCTACAAAGGTCAGCATAGTTACTCACTTTCAGTTTACACTCTAAAGTTCCTAACAGCAATTGTGAAAAGGAAAGGTATTCGGTTACATAAATCTGGCATTAAAAAAACAGAAATGTCTTTTTAAAATTGAATCCAGAGAAAGTTTGATCTGGTTTCAGTCTATAACATGTACCAATACCAGTAATATAAATAAACACACATGTGCAGGAGTAAAGTTTGTGTTTTAGTATAGTAACTTAAATAAAAATCCCAATACATAACCAAAAAATTTCAATTTAGTGAAGTCATTTTCAATATTTTTTTCCCAGTTACCTTTTTTTAAAGAATTATTTATTTAGTCACTTCCATATTTTTGTTTGTCTTTTTTTAATTTGACAGAAAAATACAGAGAAAGGGAAAGGGAGAAAGCAAGCTGCTAGATCCAGGACTCAAACTGCAGTTGTCCATGTGGGAATCCAGCACCTTTAACCATCATGCTGCCTGCTGGCCCCCAGTTGCCTCTTAACTACTAGAAAGATTACCAAACCCAGTAATCCATTTTGATACCTCTTTCTCTATGTGGGTACCAAGGTTCTTTCTAAAACAAAAATGTAAACGAGTCATTTCTTTTTCTTTTTTTTAGAGAGGTTTTTGCCATAGGGCGCGTGCGCTCACCAGACAGAGACAGAAAGTGAGAAATCACCCCCTAGGGGGGATGACCACGCCACAATCCCTTCTCCTCCATTCTCCTCTCAGGATCATGGACAAGCACGCACACATGTCTGGCGTGAGTTTAAGCCACCGGGTCCGGGACTCAAACCATGGTCGACTACGTAGGAGTCCAGCGACATAGCCATTACGCTAACTGCTGGTCCCAATGAGTCATTTCTTTGCTTGGAAGTTTCTAGTGAGGATTCAGTCATGAGTTTGAAACCACTGTAGTTATTTTATCAGAAGTTCATGTAAGAATTGTTACCAAGTTATAAGGTCAACTGTTTACCTGAAAGGGTAAAAAGTAAGCACTGAGGTATCACAGAGGTAGGAAAACTACAAACTGGATTCAATTTCCAGTATGTAAAAGAAGTACCACCATCGTGGTAAGAAGGATAGTTGGGATGAACCTGCTGTCCTCCCGACTGTTGCTCCTCTCTCCTTTCTGAGTACACACTATACCTCTTTGCTCTTGCTCTTTGCTACCTATGGGCTTTTGTCCTTGCATATCCAGTGAACAGTTTCTTATTCATCAATGCTGAACTCAAATGTTACCTTACCTGGAATGCTCAGCTCCCTCTGCTTCCGAGTCAGCCTCTCCTTTTTCAAGGACATCCAGCACATTTTCATGGTTTCTTTTAAAATTGTTTGTCTTGTGGTAGAATAGGAATTGATCTCTATGTCTCTGTGTTTGTGTGTTCTATAATGGTTGATACTTCCTAGACTACATAAGAGACTCACAAATGGGGCCAGCAGGTGGTGTGATGGTCAAGGCACTGAATTCCCACATGGCTGACAGTCTGAAGATCACTCTGGGTACATATGTGTGCGTGCCCAAAGTTCCAGGAGGAGAATGAATGGGGGAGGAGGAATTGTGGCATCCTTTCTGGGGAGTGAGTTCTCATTTTCTCTCCCTCTGGTGAGCACACACACACACCCTGTGGCAAAAACCAAAAAGAAAAAGAAAATAAAAATCCTGTCTGAACACCAGTATACATCATAAACAATCTTTTAAAAAAGGATTCACAAATTAAAGGATTCACACTAGCACTGCATAACTAAATATGTATACTTTCGTTCATAAGACATAAGGACAAAAGACATATATTTAGGGACGTATACATTTAATGATTTTTATGGTGTATTTTTGGCACAGAAAGGATATGGGATTGTAGGGAGAGAAGTAAGATGTGAGTATTAGTTGGGGAAACCAAGGGAAGAGGTTGAAATTATGATAATTTAGACACTGGTAAATCCTATGGAGCTGAAATTCAGCCCTCTGAAAGAGGTGCTTGTCCACTTGATTTCAGGTTGATTGCATAATTCTGTCTTTGAAAACATGTTTAAAAGACTGAAAAATGCCTTTTTAAAATTCAGTTCACAGAAAGTTTGATCTGGTTTCAGTCTGTAACATGTACCAATACCAGTAATATAAATAAACACACATATAATAGGTATTTAACTTACAAATTATATTTTAATTCCAAATGTATCTTTGTGAAAGGCCTTTTTACCTACTGGTGGTGCTATTTGTATTTATGATGAAAAATAATATATCAATTAATCCCTAATTCAGCTCCTATGTTTTACACAGCAATGCTGAAATTTAAATTTGCTGTGTACATCACATATGTAAATTGTCGTATTATGTGTGACAGCAGTCAGATTTGATTGTTTACCAGTCTTGAGCTCAGTTATATTTATATTGCATGTTCAAGTTATTATTAGATCATAATGAAAGCAAGGGCAAAGCTACAGAACTGTTTAATACTTTACTTTCAAATGCTGACAATTTTTTTACAATTTTGCTTTATTTTTGCTGCCTGCAGCTGTTGGTTTTTACTGTAAGTATCTTGAGGACTATGGTATTCTGTTGCTCATGTTTCTGTGTAGTATTTTATCATTTTTAAAATTTAAATGATGCGGTATTCAGTGAAGGAGGAAGCAGCATTTTTCTTTCTACTTACAAGGGTAGGCAGTATGAACTGGCATTTATCCGTTTAGTCATCTATATATATTTGTTATTAGTACAGAGAAATGTTTTCTTCTAATGTGTCCTTAATGGTTTTTCAAGTTGGCATTCATTACCTTGATTCATCGGAGTTTAGGTTATTAGGGTGTGCTTTGGATAATCCCATTTGTAGGTCTTTTTTGTAGGCATCTATTTATGATACCTGGATCTGTCTTATGCAACTATTATACCAATTTGTCCTTCATGTGGGAAACAAATGCCTTTAACACAATATGACCTTTGCTAAGAGGCAGGTATCTGGTGCTATCCAGAGAGAGACACCAAGAGAGGGAAAGTGAGAAAAGTGAGAAATCCAGCCCTGGTGGGGGGGATGACCATGCTGCAGTCCCTTCTCCTTTCTCTTCTCAGGATTTTGGGCACACACACACGCGTGCTCAGCCTGATTTTCAAGCCATCAGGTCTAGGACTTTAACTAAGGAGTTGGCTATGTGGTGTCCAGCCACCGTAACCTTCATACCATCTGCTGGCCCCAGAATGACTTAAAAAAAAAAAAGAGAGAGAGAGAGAAAAAAATTTTGCTATAGGGTGTATGTGCCCACCAGAGAGAGAAAGAGAGAAATCACCCCCCAGGGGGTATGGCCACACCACAATCCTTCTCCTACATTCTCCTCTTGGAATTTTAGGCACACACGTACACGGACCCAGCATGAGTTTTAAGCCGCCAGGTCCAGGACTCAAACTGCAGTCAACTACATGGGAGTCCAGCAACATAACCATTATGGTATCTCCTAGTCCCCAGAATGACTTTTTAACACTCAGCTAGTTATTTAACCATGTGTTCTTCTCAGAAGATGTTATGTAAATTACAGCAAGAAACAGAACTGAAATATGTGTAAATTCCCACCCTGTCTTTGTGAATAAACTTCTCTGAAGAAAGTAATAAAGAGGATTGATTACACATCTCCCCATTTCCTCAAAGTCAACCAGTACCGCTGGCCAAGGCCCAAAAATTAGTAGTTCAATTCTAGAGCTCAGAGAAACTCAGTTCCGTGGAAACTGAAACAAATTTTTGTGAAGAGAGCAGGAAGTACAAAGATAGTAACAGTGCTACAAGATTTGATCGTTTTTATAGAGATAAAAGGGATGGTGGTACCATTTTATCCAGTATCTTTCTCTTAGCAAACCAAAATCTGCATCTTCTTGCACAGAGCAGAGAAGCATCTCTAGTTTTGGCAAGTTGTAAAACCTTAGGCCTTGTAGGTTCAGAAGCTTGATGAGGTTAGCAGTAGCACACTAAGGATTTACTCATTGAAAGGGAATCTGAATAAAAGATATTTGATGGCTCAATCCTTTGAATATATAAAGAAAAGACAGTCTGCTTTCTTCTTACACAAGGAACCTGAGTAGATGAATCATTCTGCTTCCAGCTTGACAGCAAGCCCAGAACATTCAGCATCTGTTGTTAAAACACTTCTCTGGAATTACATGTACATTCATGTATATTCAGTTGAATCTTCTAGTCCTGAGAGCCAATTTCTTGTCTTTGTATCATCAGTCTCAGGGTGAAATTTTTCTTGTTTTATCTGTCTGTTATCCCCCCCTCTCCCCGTTAGCAAGGATTGCGCCTCAGGAGATTTTAGGATAAATTTGTAGTTTGTCTTTTTCTCTAAAAGTTAACTATGTTATGTAAAGAAGGTTAATGCTTAACACACAGTATGTAGTTACTTTAGAAACCAAAATCTCCCCAACCCAGCTCTGCTGCAATTTTGACCCAAAAGAGGCACAATAGTACCACAGTCATAATTTAAAAAAAAAAAAGAAAGAAAGAAAGAAAGAAAAATTTTTGCAAAGATTTATTACCATGGGAGAAGTTATAATTTAATCACACTATCAAATTTTTTAAGAGATATTTTTACTATGGACACACATGCTCAGTGGAGACAGAGAGACAGTGAGAAATTACCCCCCTGCAGGATGGCCACACCGCAGTATATTCTCCATTTTCCTCTCAGGATTTTGGGCATGCACACACATCACCTGGCATGAGTTCTAAGCCACTGGACCTGAGACTCAAACTGTGGTCTACTGTGTGGGAGTCTAGGCACATGACCATTATGTCATCTCCTGGTCCCTCGAATCACTTTTAAATTAAAAAATTCTGGGGGCCAGCAGGTGGCTTGGTGGTTAAAGGTGCTAGATTCCCACATGGTCAACCATGGTTTGAGTCCCAGACCTGACAGCTTGCTTTCTTGCTTTCCCTTTCTCTCTCTCTCGGTCTCTCCTTCTGGGAAAATTTTTAAACGAATAATAACAAATGGAATTAAGTAAATAAATCTTTAAAAAAAAATAATCTGACATAGGACAAATGTGCTGGCCAGAGAGAGAGGGAAAGTCAGAAAGCACTCCCCTCCCCCTGGGAGGGGATGGCCACATCATAATCCCTTATCCATTTTCCTCTTGAGATTTTGGGCACACATACACACAGAAGTACCCAGCATATTTCTCAAGGTGTCAGTTTTAGGATTCAAACCACACAGTAGATCATGTGGGATTTAGCTACTTTAACTACCACGGCACCCACTGGTACCCCTCAAATCACTTTTTACTTACATATTTACATATACTTATTAAAAATTAGTCCACTGTCTACACAGTGAGCATTGTTCTGGAGATTTTAGCCAGTATGTTATATAAAGAGAAAAATAAAATAGAATAAAGGGTAACCATTATTATTTACATATTTATATTATGTGAACATTATCTCAAGGTGAAATTTATCAATTAATAGTGGGAATTACAAGGGCAAAACTTGAGAGGTTTAACCACATGGACATTTAACATTTTCCTCTATTAGGGCACAGTGATAATACTCCATGGTGCAAGAGACACATGGGAAGGTCCCTCATTTGCATCCCAAGTACATTAGGCATGTATGTATGCCCATGCTCTCTCATAGAAGAAGTAAATATAAACTTAATAATAAATATATATAAAATTTTTAAATATCCTGTGTTAAAATAAGTAGAATAAATACTAGGAAAACATTTGCAGATTTATAATAGACTGTTGGTATCAAGTATAATTCAATAGAAAGAAGCAATAAAGGAGACCAAAAATTATTTTTTGCATGTGTCTACTTTTTAATTTTATTCATTTATTTTTAAGTTTACATTTAATCACTATATATCTTTTACAATCTTATTTTTCCCAGCGTGAATACAGTGCATATTAATCAAGTCAAAGACATTACCATGTACATTTTCATCAACAGATAACTTTTCACTTTTTTGTCTATTAAATGTTTTTTTTTCCCCAGATCCCCTTTCTCTTTACCCACCCAACCCCCATTATCCACTTCCTCCTGTACTACCTCTAATATCCACTGTTACCCAACCTTCCTGTCTTTTGGTTTCTGCTATAAAGTGCAGACATTAGATATATATTGAGTCATCAGAAAAGTCATGATGCTTTTTTTTTTTAAAGAGAGATTTTTGCTGTAGAGTGCATGTGCTCTCCAGAGAGACAGAGACAGAAAGAAAGTGAGAAATCACCCCCCAGTGGGAATGGCCATGCCATAGTTGTTTCTCCTCCATTCTCCTCTTCGGATTTAGGGCATGCACACATGCATGCACCACGCCTGGCCTGAGTTCCAAGCTTCTGGATCCAGGACTCAGACTGCATTCGACTATGTGGGAGTCCAGTAACATAACCATTATACTATCTACTGGTCCTGTCATGACACATTTTAGCATAGAAAAAAATATGTCATGATTTTTCAGTGACCCAACATTAAGCAAGAACATACAAACCCTGTCTTTCATAGTCGATTTGCTTCACTTAGAATTAATTTTTCCATATTTGTCCACTTTGTATCAGATGTTAGGATCTCATTGTTTTCTATAGCTGAGTAGTATTCCCCAGAGTATATGTGCCACTTTTTTTTTTCAGTCCATTTGTCTGTTCTTGGACATTTGGGTTGATTTGTTGTCCCAGCTATTGTGAATAATGCTTCAGTAAACATGGATGTGCAAATGTTTTTCTGACTGAGAGTTTCCCTATTCATTGGGTAGTTACTTGAGTGGAATTACTACTGGGTCGTACAGTAGTTCTAGTTGAAGGTTCCTGAGGAACCTCCATATTGTTCTCCACAGTGGTTGTACTAATTTACACTCCCACCAACAGTTTGAGTATTCCCTTTTAACCACAGCCTCACCAGTGCTTATCATTCCCCAAAATTATTTTTTTAAAGAAATAGTAACAGCTCATTAAGCCAGTACCATTTACAAAAACTAACCAGTAATCAAAGAACTGAAAATATAATACAATAATGACACGGTTTTGGAGGGACGGGAAAAAATAAAGCATTCAATGGGACCAGCAGGTGATATGGTAGTTAAGGTTGACCATGGTTTGAGACCTGGACCTGGCAGTTTGAAAATTACAATGGGCATGTGTGTGTTGGATACCTAAACTCCCAGGAGGAGAATGGAGGAGAAAGGATTGTGGTGCAGTCATCCCCCAGGGAGTGATTTCTCATTTTCCTTCTTTGTCTCTTCCGTGAGCATTCATGCCCTATGGCAGAAACAAACAAACAAACATACATACATACATGTAAAAAGTGTTCAAAATAGGAAAGCAAAACAAAACTATACTTAGTAAACAGTTTAGAAAAGGGAATGATCAAACTCTAGGATTACAAAATGTTACAATCTCTTTGGAGAATAGTTCTATAGTGTATTTTTAAAACTTTAAAAATATGCAGGAGCCAGCAGGTGGCATAGTGGTTAAAGGCACTGTATTTCCACATGGCCAACTGTGGTTCAAGTCCTAGACCTGGTGGCTTGCTTCCTTGCTTTCCCTTTCTCTGTCTTCTGGTCAAATTAAATAATAATAATAATAAATGGAATGAGATTAATAATTATACACACACACACACACACACATATTATGGGACCAGCAGATGGCGTAATGGTTACATCTCTGGACTTCCACATAGTCAACCATGGTTTGAGTCCCAGACCTGGTGGCTTAAAACTCGTGCGAGGTATGTGTGCGTACATGCCCAAAAATCCCAAGAGGAGAGTGGAGGAGATGAGATTGCATTGTGGCCATCTTCCCCCACCAGGGGGTGATTTCCCTCTTCCTGTCTCTCTATATTTCTCTCTTTTCTCTTTGCTAGCGCATGTACCCTATAGCAAAAAATCTCTCTGAAGAAAAAAAATATATATATATGTGTATATCTAGATACACACACACACACACACATAGTCAATCACTCAGTTGGGATCTTGCCCAGACATATTGGAAAAACAGGCCTTGTGTCCATCCCTGACAGGATGGAGAAATGGAAAAGTAGAAATTGCATTATGATCATGTCTCATTAGCAGGTGCTTTTTCCTGTTCCCCGTCTGTCTTATCTGTGTCTCTTGTGGATAAGTACACAAGCCCTCTGGTAAAATAAAAATATATGCATGTTAGGGTCAGCAGGTGGCATGGTTGTTAAGGCACCAGACCCCCATATGATGGGCACACATGCCCCATAGCAAATATTAAAAAATAATAAGTAAAATTAAAAGGATATATATATGCATATCATGTAACTTGGCAGTTGTCTTTTGGAGGAAATTCACTGAGGGACAAATCAGATTGCCTACAAATCTGCTTTTAGGGGAGAGGGGTCTAATGGGGCTGGCTCTGTGGCCTGGTGGTTAAGGCACTTTGATTCCATATGGCCCACAACAGAGTTTGGGCCATAACAGCAGCTTCAAAAACAATGCCCAAAGTCCTGAAAGGAGAAATGAAGGGGATTGCAGCATTATCGTTTCCCATGGGAAGTACTTTCTTTTTCTCTCTCCCCCTCCCTTCCGCTCTCTCTCTCTCTCTGTCTCTCTGACAAGTGCACATGCCCTCTAGCACGTTAAAAATAATACCTCTAACAAAATAATAATCATAGAAAATGGTAAGTAATCTAAATGTCTATCATTACAGGATTTGGATAATTAAAATGTAAGACACAGGCAATACTATGCCTCTATTAAAATAGTTCTGTAGCTAGAGCTACCAGATGGCGTAGCGGTTGCAGCACTGGACTCACACATTGCCAACCATGGTTGGAGTCCTGGACCCTGTGTCTTGAAACTCAAAGCTAGGCATGTGTGCGTGCATGCATGCCCAAGATCCCAGAGGAGAATGGAGAAGAAGGCGTTGTGCATGCATGCCCAAGATCATGGAGGAGAATGGAGAAGAAGGCATTGTGGTGTGACCATCCCTGCTGGGGAGTGATTTCTCACTTTCCCTCTCACTGTCTTGTCACTCTCTCCTGAGAGCACACACACACGGCAAAAAAATCTCTACCCCCTCCAAAAAAAAGTTCTGTAGCAGACTATTTAACTACATCAAAATTAGTGTAATATATTTTTTAAAATTTACTTCCAAGTGATATGTATAATATCCCAAATTTTATTTTTGTATTTTTCTGTGAACATGTATGAATATTTTGTCACCTGAAAAAAAAAAATACATTTACTTATCAATAAGTGAAAACTGATTTCTGTTCCTCCCCCTGCAACAGAAATATGTATTTCAATGTTTAGAAGAATCACTGCTTTCTGAAGAGTTTAAGGTAATTTTCTTGAAAATAACAAGTCCTGTCTTTTTCATTGAATACAGATATTCCAGACCAAGTTATAAGAGTTTTCAAAGCAGATCAACAAAGTTGCTACATTATCATCAGTAAAGACACTACAGCTAAAGAAGTGGTTTCTCAAGCTGTTCATGAATTTGGTTTGACCGGTGCACCCGAGACATACTCTCTCTGTGAAGTTTCTGTCACTCCTGAAGGTGTCATAAAACAAAGACGACTTCCAGATCAATTCTCCAAACTAGCTGATAGGATTCAACTCAATGGAAGGTGAGTAAGTTTATTGGTGAATATGTCTATTTGTAGATGTGTTTTTGAAGATTCACTGTTAAAACATTTTAGGTAGAAATATCATTACATTTTAGTGCCACTGAGTTCTGTCTAAAACTAGAGCTTCTCTTTCTTTCCAAGGTTTTCTTGTTTCAGTAATTATGTAAATACAGCTTTAGGTTGTTAGCATTTGTCAGGACTACTCTAAAGTGGGGGAATGAAAGGGAGCTTGCCAAAATATTGTGGTATTCCTGCTAAAGTGTTAGAACCACTGATGTAATGTAATCCATTTTTTACAGAGGAGGAAATTGAGTGACATAGATCTTTGTATCTGAGTTTGTTTATGTATCGGTTTATAAGTTTAGAGGTTTTTTTTAACAATTATTTTATTTAACTTTATTCATTCAATCCTTCATTCATTCATTTAAATTTGACTAGAGTGGGGGCAGGCGGGGAATGAGAAAGCAAGCCACCAGGTCTGGGACTCGAACTGTGGTCGGCCGTGTGGGAGTCCAGTACCCACAACCACCATACAACCTGCTGGCCCTAAATTTGTTGTTAAGATAGCCAATATGTACTTTGGGCAGCAGAGCCATAATTTTCAGTTCTTTTTCCAAGTAGTTTCCCTTTAATGTATGCAGAGAAAGTTTTTAAAAAATTTAAATGTGCTTTGAAAATTATATGATAAACTAGAATTTTTTTAGTGTATTTGTTCTTTACTCTTATAATTTTCTCTGAGAACAGTATTTTTAGTGATCCAGTTTTATATGTATTTGGAAATCTTTATTTTTTTTTTAAGTTCTAGAGAAAGAAAAGGGAGAGGGAGAAAGCACTGCCCCTATGGAGTGTGGTCATGCTCCTCTCTTCCCCACTTCTCCACCCCTCCAGGATTTTTGTCACATAAGCACACCTGCCTGGTATGTTTGTCTAGCTGCCAGGGCTGGGATTCAGGCTGTAGGGCCAGCCCAACGCTTGGAGATCTTAGAACCACCCATCATGGTTGCTGTGAAGAGAGTGGATTGAGTCTGCTTTACTGGCTGTGCATAGTGATTAAGAGCATAGACACTGGAACCAGACTGCCTAAATTCAAATCCCAGCTTTGGCTATGTGTTCCTTGGGCAAGTTATTTAGATTCTCTATGCCTGAACTTATTTTTTCCGCTATAAAATGGGGAATGATAATAATAGAACCTCATAGGAATATTGTAAGGATTTAACGAGTTAGTAAATGATGACATTCTGTGAATGTCTAGATAGGGGCTCACTGTGGCCTAGTTTATAGAGCAGGTACCAGGTGGTCGACTGTGTAGTTAAACTCTCAGACCAGCTTGAGAAAAACACTAGTGAGTATATGCCCCAGATCCCTACAAGGTGGAGTAGTGGCCACACCCCATTAATGCTTTCTGTCTGTCTCTCTCTAGTGAGTGAGTGCACATGTCCTCTGGCAAAATTTTAATAAATAAAATATATATGTACATATATATGTAAATGTTAGATATAACTTTATTATCTACCATACAGTAAGTCTCAATACTATTATCTATGGCATTGTCTTAAGCATGTAAACAGTATAAAGGCAGAAAAAAGAGATGCAGTTCCTTGACAGTGAAAACTTAGATGGACACAAACTTAGATAGACCTAGATCAAGTCATATTACTAGGAAAGGGGGAAATATAAGCTGCAAGTGCTATAATATGTTATTTCTTTATCTTAGTAACAGACCTGTACAATGTGCTTCAAACTGTAACTACTTCAGGACTCTCTCTTGACCTTTAAGTGCCATAGAATTGTTGATCTAAAGAAAAGAAAGGAAAATGCAGGTCTTTGATGTGATTGCTAATTAATGTAATTTGCTGCAACGAGGTTTTGTATTTAACAAGGAAGAAACCATTCATGGAAGAGTTATCCCTCCTTTTTGAATTTTATTCTTCTGTGCTTCAATTGAAAATCTAGAGGGCAGGCACATGGCATGGAGGTTAAGGCATAGGACTCCCACGTGGCTGACCACGGTTGGAGTTGCAGACCTGGTGGCTTGGTTTCTCACTTTTCCTCTCTCTCTGTCTGTCTCTGGTGAGCACACATGCCCTACAGCAAACTTAATAATTAATAAATATTTTTTAGAAAAAAGTTAGAAACAATAAAGGAAATGAGTGAAGCGACAACATTTGAGTAGAGTTTTAAATAGTCTTGATTCAAGCGTTTATTATGCTGCCCATGAACAGATACTATAGATACCAATTATATCGGGTACTATTATAATTACTAGCCTTTCTCTTATAGATCTTTTATTCTCAAAAATACACATAAATGATTGCTCACACATGGTGAGTCGTTTCATAAAATGATTAAATTCACAGCATTATCTACATTATTTTTGCTCTTTATATTTTTTATAGGACTATTTAATTCTATTTATCATTATCAGTAGTAGTAGTAGTAGTAGTAGTAGTAGTACTAGTTTGCTACAGGACACATGCACTCACCAGAAAGACAGAGAGGGAAAGTGAAAAAGCAAGCCACCAAGTCGGGAACTCAGACTACAGTCAGTCATGTAGGAGTCCAGTGCCTTAACCACCATGCACCTGCCAGCCCCCTATTTTTGCTCTTTAAAATAATAGATATCAAATGTTGGAATAAAAAGATAACTTCTCAAAGGTGTCCTCATTTAAGTTGTTAATTTTCCATTTTATTTATAAGTGAATATTCTGATGTTTTTGACAAAAAGTTACTAACTTCTGTAAAATGGTATTTTGTATTTTGACAACAGTAGTGAAGAGGGAAAGTGTTTTTTGTAAATGTGAAACTACACATATGATCATGCTGGTGAGCACACATGCCCTACAGCAAACTTAATAATTAATAAATATTTTTTAGAAAAAAGTTAGAAACAATAAAGGAAATGAGTGAAGCGACAACATTTGAGTAGAGTTTTAAATAGTCTTGATTCAAGCGTTTATTATGCTGCCCATGAACAGATACTATAGATACCAATTATATCGGGTACTATTATAATTACTAGCCTTTCTCTTATAGATCTTTTATTCTCAAAAATACACATAAATGATTGCTCACACATGGTGAGTCGTTTCATAAAATGATTAAATTCACAGCATTATCTACATTATTTTTGCTCTTTATATTTTTTATAGGACTATTTAATTCTATTTATCATTATCAGTAGTAGTAGTAGTAGTAGTAGTAGTAGTACTAGTTTGCTACAGGACACATGCACTCACCAGAAAGACAGAGAGGGAAAGTGAAAAAGCAAGCCACCAAGTCGGGAACTCAGACTACAGTCAGTCATGTAGGAGTCCAGTGCCTTAACCACCATGCACCTGCCAGCCCCCTATTTTTGCTCTTTAAAATAATAGATATCAAATGTTGGAATAAAAAGATAACTTCTCAAAGGTGTCCTCATTTAAGTTGTTAATTTTCCATTTTATTTATAAGTGAATATTCTGATGTTTTTGACAAAAAGTTACTAACTTCTGTAAAATGGTATTTTGTATTTTGACAACAGTAGTGAAGAGGGAAAGTGTTTTTTGTAAATGTGAAACTACACATATGATCATGTTGATAAAAATTGTTTTCCTTTTAGGTATTATTTAAAAAATAATATGGAGACAGAAACCTTATGTTCAGATGAAGATGCTCAAGAACTAGTCAAGGAAAGCCAACTGTCTATGCTGCAGCTCAGTACCATTGAGGTGGCCACCCAGCTGTCAATGAGAGACTTTGACTTGTTCCGTAATATTGAGCCTACTGAATACATTGATGACCTTTTTAAGTTAGAGTCCAAAACAGGAAATACTCACCTGAAAGAGTTTGAGGACATTGTCAATCAAGAGACATTCTGGGTTGCCTCTGAGATCTTAACTGAATCAAATCAACTTAAGCGAATGAAAATCATTAAGCATTTCATTAAAATTGCACTTCATTGCCGAGAATGTAAGAACTTTAATTCCATGTTTGCAATAATAAGGTAAGTTTGTACAAATAGATGCAAGTATCTGAGTATGATTTTGTCAAATTATCAGAAATTAGGCTGATTTTCTGCTTAGGTATTAAATGCCTAGGAAAAGAAAAGTTCAATTAGTATGCTTTTAAAATATTGTTACATTTAACATATTTTCCATTTTGGATGTATTGGCTTTTTTTGTTTGTTTCCTCCATCTTTTGTATCACATAAAATACTTTTTTATTTGTTTTTGATGAATGTGGGTGATTACTTTCCCATTTTTTTTTTCTTTGCCCACTTAGGGTCATGGGATGTTTATGCAGTGGCTGGGCTTCATTGTCAAGGTTCTGTACTTTGCATATTTAAGTACTTGCCTCATTGTGATTTGACACTGATAAAATCATAATGTGGTATCAGTGCCCTGGCCTAAATTTGGCATTTTGAGATAACAGCAGTAATAAAAATAACGATCATTGGTGAGCTCTCCTTGTTTGCACTAAATGAGGAATTGTTAAATGTGTTGTCACTCAGGTGAGCTAGGCCATCGTAATTATTAAAATCTTTTGAGGATTACAAGCCTAGGAAGTAAAGATGGCTACGTGAGGTCTCCGCACTACCTTCTCCCCACTCATTATGAGAACTCAGTTCTGGGTGATTTATTTTCTGACCTTCAGCAAACATACTGATGCTCAAAAGGATTCCTCTTAAAACAAGTCTAATTTTTTTTTTCTTTTATTCATGATAGAGCATGTACTTGAGCTCATGAGAGAAAAAGATAAGCCCCCTCCACAGGATCTGGTCATGACATAGTCCCCTCCCTCCTGTCATGTCGGATCTTGAGAACCCCCATATGTGTCCAGAGTATTTTAGGCTGACAGGCTGGGGATTCAAGTTGTCACCATGTGGGATCTGGCTATGCTTCAGAGCTACTCCAAAAGTCCAGTTTTAAGGGGAAGGAGGGAGGTAGTAAAGTCCATTTAGAAAGCCATGTGCTTATATAAAACAGCATATTTCTACCTTAATCCCACCTACATACATCCCTCACATAATTAATTGGGAATGATTAGTTTCTATTGCTCATATGAGGTAAAAGTAGAATCTTTTAGGGACTATTTAACCATGTCTTTTTTGTTATAAGATATTCCTTTATTAAATTAACTAGTTGCAGAGCCCAGTCAGTGGCATGGTGGTTAAAGTGGTTGGATCTCACATGGTTGACATGATTGATTCAAGTACCAGACTGGTGGCTTGAAAATCAATGAAATCACTGCTCAGCATATGTACACGTTTGTGCATGCCCAGAATCCTGAGAGTGAAGGAGAAAGGATTGTGGTGTGGCCATTCTCCCTGGGGATAATTTCTCTTTCTCTTTCTCTCTCTTCCTCTCTCTCTCTGGCAAGAACATGTACCCTAGCAAAACTAAAAATAAATAAATAAATAACCTGTTGCTATTGAATAGGGATTAACAGAATCAACGGCACCTGTATTTGAATCCTGTCTTTTTCATGTAGCAGCAGTGTATCAGTGAAAAATTAAACATTGGTTTTCCCATCTGTAAAATGCAGAAATTATACCATCTATTTCATAGTTTCCAGCAGCTGAGTCTAAAACAAGAGAACTAAGGTGTCATTGATAAACACTTGGAAATCAGACCTATTTGTATAGGAAGCATTGAGTTAGCAACAATTAAAGAATTTCAGTCTCCGTTTTAGAGTACTCCATGAAGAAAATGTATTGATGCCAAGGAAGTGGATGATCCCTGTGTAAAAAGATAATCTAGAAAGAGAATCGTAGAGGGCTAAAAACTGTATCTTAATAGCTATCCTCAGTATCAGGATAAAAGAAGAAAGAGAATCTAGTCAAAGAGATGGAAGGAAGATCAATAGAAAAACTAGAGTAGCATAGTTACTATGACATGATCAAAGCTAAGAGAAAAGTGATTGAGAGAGGAGTGATGGACAGTTGATCCTAAGAGAGTATAGAAAAAGCCTGACATTAGATTAGGAGGCTTTGCTTTGGGAAAGGGGTTTATTTTGTTAAAAAGAACATTTATTAAACACATGTTCCATAGTTCATGTGAAGATAATTGCTTTGTATTGTCGTCTTATACTTTCAATAATATCAGAATATAAAGAACTTATGAACTCTTTTCAGCAGAGTTGAAACAGGTGAATCATTCGGTTCTGGCTGAAATAAAGTACCATATTTTTTTAATTAAAAAATTATTTTAACTTTCAAATAGACATTGCAAAAAACCAATTTTTACAATACATTGTAAAATCTTCAAAGGGTACTAAAAGTACACAGTGCAAAGTAACTCTCCTTCTCCCTCAGTCCCCAGACCCCCAAATAGCTCTCCCCAGGGGCAACCATTTAATCCCATCACAACCGAACATCATGACATGATTTTGTGGGGACATAGTCTATGTAATCATAGCAAATGGCTTGTGGAAATTCTATTTCCTAATCATATTCAAAGTGTCTTCATTGTTTTTTAATTTGAATGACAGGTGGCCTGTAAAATTCTTTCTCACATATTATTTTTTGAGGACCTCATGGACAGTGGCTCCATTTTGTGTGGCTGTTTTAAGTTCCTGAGACTAGCTTGAATTCTCTGCTGTATTCCTAAATTTTTTTTTCCTTAACTCTTCAGTCGTTTGCCTTTCCTTGAGTGTTTTCTCATCTCTTAGTTCTGTTTCAGTTTCTCTGGAACTCTTAATTGCTTTTTCATCTGTAGACCCAATATATATATATAATTTCCAGAGGGCACATGTGCTCCCCAAGGAAGATGGAGAAGCAGAGAGAAAGCACCCCACCCAAATGGGGTACAGTCACACCGTAGTCTCTCCTCCGTCTCTTCATCCTATCGGGATTTGGGGCATGCTCACACACTTGTCCCACATGTCTTTCAAGCCACAGCAGACAGGACTTGATGGGATCATGCTCCCTTAACCACTGGCCATGAAGCTAGCTCCTTCGTTTCTGAAAAGTTTTTTCAAATTATACCTGTGGGTATTTTTTTTTTTTCAGTTCCATTTGTTTCCTTCTTAGAAAGGAATACTAATAAGGCATATTTTAGATTTTTAGTTTGTAGTCTATATTTGTTATTTTCTCTCTAATCCTTTTGAACTCTGTTCATTTAATTTATTGCATTTGTCAGTCCTTTTTTCCATGTTACTTGCACAGTGTTTTAGGAATGTCTTTCTTTTTATGAAGACTTCAGGTTTGTGGAAAAATGAAATTAATGTATGAGTTTATTTTGGTATAACGATTTTTTTTCCCCTAACCAACTGAGTTTTATTTGCTGTATAAACCAAACCACCTAACATCTTTCAGGTGAAAAAATACTAAATTTGAATAAAGATACTACAAAATGAATTAGAGCTCAATAAAAATTAGCTTTGGGGAGGGAACGTAATTCTACTCAATTAAGGCAAACGTGTTTATAGACCACAGATTAGTTTATTTTTAACACCCATCATGCCATGAATTCATAGGGAATAGGTTCCAGTAGCTCAGGCTCCTTTCCATTGGTTCTCACAAAGTGTGCTTCTCTGGGTGGAGCAGGCTGGCACTTTTAGTTGAACCCAGGTACCTTTCTCTTTGGCTTCTTTCTTTTTCTGGTCATTTTTCTTC